AATGCTCTACCATTTTACCACAGTCTTTCTACTTTAATTTTTCAGATGGGATCTTCTGCATTTGCTCAGGCTGGCTTTAACCTTAATTCTTGTACTCCCAACTTCTTCATAGTTAGGGGCATGGGCATGTACCTCCACACGTGGCCCTAGGATTAGTTATTTTCAATGAGAGCACTTTTCTCACCCTATTGCCTTAACTCACTGTGCACAAATAACTTGGCAGTAGCACTACTGCTTTAAAGCCATGCAAAAGAATCTCTTTTTAGTCAGTACAAAAATTTGAACCTAAAAATTTAACTTAGTTGTTTTTACAAGTGTGTATTTTCCAAATGGATGCTCCCTTGTCTTCTATTATTTCTGTGCTTGCTAGATGCTTTAAAATATTTTGAATATTTTTATATGAAGGATACTTTTGTCTTAATCATCCTGAACAATTCACAACCCTTTCTTAGAATGTTCTAAATGTCTCTGAAATGTTGGCTACATCTGCAGACCAACTGTACCTTTCCTTTTCTATTTTTATGTAAGCCTCTTTCATCTGTTTATATATGATTAAAATTCTTATCCATACTCTGAAATCTGTGTTTGTAAATCCATGGATTTTGTCTCCAGTAGACACAACAGAGGGCTGTCATGTTTATTAGTCTGACAGACTGGGCTCACGAAACCTCATTTTTAATGTTTAGTGTGATAAATTGGCAAATGCACATCTTACAAGAAGGGTAAACTCCATCAGGAGCCATTATCCTTCGAAGCAGAGTTCTGAGTGATCTTGAACAACACTCTCTCTAGATGATGTATTGTATATGATGCCAGTTAGATTTCCTGCTGATTTGATTGTTACTAGTTTTCCGTAAAACAGCAAAATAGTTTTTTCAGAAGTACTCTTTGCTCTGGTGCAATACTGGGTTTGCAGGTCTAAACGTGATACTTTGGTATATGTCTTTATCCCTCTTGACTCAGTTGTAATGGAATTTCAGAGACAACAGAAAAATTTTGAGTTTGCTTACACATCTAGGTGGATGGAGACCACACACAAATCCGTTTATGTTCACTTATTACTAATAGTTTATATTATAATACTCCATATTATAAGAAAACCTAAATTCTAAATCCTTGTTCTGAAAATTTTCCATGAGATTAGATTCTTATTAGTTTTTTTACCATTTAAATTAGCTCTACATTTTTATTATCTTAAGTAGTTTTATATGAGATTCAATTCAACATGTCATTTTATGATTATAATGCATCTTGATTAGTATCACCCATTTCATCATTTTCTCCCATCTGTTCCCAACCTCACTATATAAAATTTTTTGTAATTTTTACTTTGCTTGATGAAATTCTGCAGAGGAAGGAAAGATTTTAGACCAACCAACATCATGCTGTCCTTTTAAGAAAGAGCCTGTGTGTCTTTGCTCTACAGGTGCTTATTGTAATCTCTTCTGGCTGTACCATCTTTACAGGGTGAGTTGTGTGTTCTTGCCATTCTCCAGAATATATATTGACCATGTGAAAACTTCTCTGTCTGCCAGTTTAGCCAAGCTTGTTCCCCCGCCTTCCCCAGGCCTGTGTAAGTCTTTTTCACATCTGCTTTTTTGAGGGCAGATCACAGGAAGTATGTGAACATGTAGACTGATATATTCCAAGCAGTGAATATAGCCAGGAGATGTGTGCACACCCCAGGCCTGTTGAAGTCCATGGTTTTGTGTGGTGAGGATGGTGATGTGGGATGAGGGCCAACAAAAATGGAAGTGTGGCACTTTTCCTCATGGTACAGCTGTCAGTTAGACTCTGCTGGCTAATAGTTGCCAGACATCTAGCAATTGGACCATGTTGGTTCATCTACTCTCTCCCAGCCACTCTGGCACCATGAGACTCTCTGCACAGCATATGCTGAGTGTCTGACATGGAAATTGAGCCCTGGAGCAGGGCAGTGAGAAGCAGATTGTAATCAGTACTATTTAAACAATGGTACTATTCATGTATTAGGAAAATGTTTGATGAATAATAACTCACCTTTATACTGTGCAGGAAAATTGATTTTTAAACCAGGAATGGCTAATGTTATTAGGCTTCCAAATATCTTGAAAGTAAATGAATATAAATTTAAGCACATCTGGTTGTCCCTTTTCTATAAATTTAGCCTGAATAGTGAATAAAATGCTTAATGTAATTTTCACAGTGAAACAGATGTATACAAAAGTTTTTAACTTGAACCAATGCAGTCTATGTTGAATTGCAGATTTTAAGTGTGTTGTCTAACTAAGGTAGAATTTTTTTTTTTTTTTTGCCGGTCGTGGGGCCTGTACTTTGGGCGCTGTCCCTCAGCTCTTCAGCTCAAGGCTAGCCCTCTACCACTTGAACCACAACGCCACTTCTGGCTTTTTTTTCTGCTTATGTGGTGCTGAGGAATCAAACCCAGGGCCTCATGCATGCAAGGCAAGCACTCTACCACTGAGCCACCTTCCCAGCCCCTAATGTAGAGTTTTTAGAATATCTGGCAAAAGACTCACTTTTTGTACTTATTAAGGATATATGTTCTACTCATGCTTTGGAAATAAATACAATTTAATGTATGCGAGAGTGTCAGAAATAACTTAGTAATGAGTAGAGGTTAATTCATTCATATATATCAGGCATGCTGAGTAAAATTACTCAGAGCTTATTTTATAATATTTTAATATGAAAATTACAATGCATTAAACAAACATTGTTCACAAAAGAGAAAAGCGTTTTCAAATGGCTATTCCTAGGTCTCACCTCTACCTCATCTCCTGAGACTCTGTGGTGTGTAATCTACCTCAGTTCCTTGAATTCTGTCCTTACCCTGGGCTCCAAGCTCAATATCAAAGTCCTTCCTGAACTGTACTTTGTGGTCTTGTCCACTGCCACATTCATAGAGCTTACTTTTAAAAATTAGACATTTTCTTTATCTTTTTTTTTAATTGTGAAAATACCGTACAGAGGGGTTACAATTACATGAGCAAGGTACTGAGTACATTTCTTATCAAGCATTGTTGCCTCCTCCTTTGTTTCCCCTTTCCATCCCTTCCCATCTTCTCCTCCATCCCCACACCAAAGTTGTAAAGTTTGTTTTTTGACATAACATCTTGTACATCTCATTGTTGCAATGGGGCCACCTGTATCCCTATTTAAACAATTTGTTTTTTCCCTTCCCCTCCACAAATTATACAAACATCAAATATCTTGGCCTGGCCCCCTCTCTTGCCTTTACTGATTTTCCAGTGCTGAGTTTGTTGGGTTTTGACCTTGTCTTTCTAAAAAGTTATACTATTTGAAATATTTCATTCATTTTTAACTACTTGCACACCCCAATGTATTTACATAAGGCTTTATAGGTACATTCTAATCACCACATATGAGGGAAAACATGCAACTTTTCCTTCTCTGGGTCTGGCATACTTAACTTGAAGTGAATTTTTCCAAGTTTTTCCACTTCCTTATAAGGGGTACAATATTATTCTTTCTAATGGATGGGTTGAATTCTTTGGTGTATATATGCCCCATTTTCTTTCTTTCTTTGTTTTTTTTTGTTGGTCGTGGGGCTTGAACTCTGGTCTTGGGCACTGTCCTTGCTCTCTTCAGCTCAAGGCGAGCACTCTGCCTCTTGACCCACAGAGTTACTTCTGGTTTTCTAGTGGTTTATTGGAGATAAGAGTCTCACAGACTTTCCGGCCCAGGCAGGCTTTGAACCGTGATCCTCAGATCTCAGCCTCCTGAGTAGCTAGGATGACAGGCGTGAGCCACAGGCTTATATGCCTCATTTTCATGATCCATTTGTCCATTGAGGGGCACCTGGGCTGATTCCATATTTTGGCTATGGTGAATAGTGCAGCAGTGAACATGTTTGTGCTGCTGGTTTTACTGTAACTTGTTTGTGTTCTACTGGATAGATTACCAGGAGTGCAAATGCTAGGTCATAGGGTAGTTCTATGTTTAATTTTTTGAGGAACCTTCACACTGCTTTCCAGAATATTTGAACAAGTTGACATTCCCAGTATATTAGGGCTCCCTTTTGACTACATCCTTGCATTTGTTACTTGCTTTCTTGTTAGTGACCATTCTGAGGATAGGAGGAATCCCAGTGTTGTTTTGATTTGCATTTTCTTTATGGCCAGAGATAGCGAACATTTCTTCATGTGTCAATTGATCATTTTTACTTTTTCTTCTGAGAAGTTTCTCTTTATTAGTCTATTAATTGGGATGTTTCTTTGAGGGTTTATTTTTTGAGGGTTAAATTTCTTTCTTTTTTTGTTTTTGGTTGGTCATGGGCCTTGAACCCTGGGCCTGGGCGCTGTCCCTCAGCTCTTTAGCTCAAGGTAAGTGCTCTCCCACTTGAGCCACAGCGCCACCTCTGGTTTTCTGGTGGTTAATTGGAGATAAGTGTTTCACGGACTTTCCTGCCCAGGCTGGTTTTGAACTATGATCCTCAGACCTGAGCCTCCTGAGTAGCTAGGATTCTGGGTGTGAGCCATTGGCGCCTAGCTTTGAGGATTTAACTTTTTACACTCCGAGTATCTTCTGGGTTTTAGGCCCTTGTCTGATGTATAGCTGGTAAAAATCTTTTCCTATTGTGTGGGCTTTCTTTTGAGCTTGTTAGCAGGTCAGTTGTGTTTGTGTGGGTATTTCAATAAAAGCAGCATATTTTCCTTGAGTTTTGTCAAAAGATATCTGATATTACAAAATTCACCATTGGTTTCATAAAACCCATTCCAACAGCTTGTGTTTTGTTCGAAGATACATGATATTACTGAAATTTACCATTGTTTTCACAAAGTGCACACTCATAGATAGCTTCAAGAAGTCAGAACTTCCGACTTCTGTTACACAGTTGGCTCTACATGGGCTGTATAAAAGATGTGGTCCAGCTGTTATCAAGATTGCTTCAGAATTACTTCTGAGGAAAGGAGTTATCTGACAGTGTATTCAGGGTGATTCATTTTCTTAACATTTTGTTTTCATGATTTTTTTTTCAGAAATTGAAAAGTTTCAAGGTTCTGATGGAAAGAAAGAGGAGGAAGAAAAGAAGTATCTTGATGTCATCAGCAACAAAAACATAAAGCTCTCAGAAAGAGTCTTGATTCCTGTCAAACAGTATCCAAAGGTATTGCAGTATAAGCTTTGTTCTCATTGAGTTAGAACAGAATGATAATGATGTCTTGATGTTTTATTCATTGCCTTTTATAAAATAAATATTTAAAGCCTCATTACAGAAATATATGCAAACACATGGTACTGACAGGAAAGAAGACTTTGAAAGAACAATGAGAATACTATTCAACTAAAAACTGGCAATTTTGTGCTTTGACTGTGGGATGCATAACTGCATATTCTAATCATTTATTTAACGTGAATGATTCCCAAGTTTATTTAGAAATGCATGCCTACTTTGTTATGTTTTGGTTTTGGTTAAAATGTATAAAGGGGAATAGAATTAAGGATACTAATATATTACATTAGCTAATCTGTATGGGATTATTTTATCTAGAAAACATAATGGTCTACAACACTCTTGGTATATAACTTCTTGTCTTCTATATGTTATATGTAGTTATAAAAATAATCGTGATATTGACACCTCTCTTTAAACTACTTTTCATCTTACAGATGGTTAACTAAATTTAGTGGAATGGTTTAACTGACTATATTAATAAATTACAATGGATTAAAAAGATTTTCTCAGATAAAAGAAGAAAGCCCCAAAGAAACTCAGCGACTCAAGGTGGTAATTTCTTTTTGAAGAGAGATTCTGAAGCAAGGATCATGTAATTATCTTAATAATAAGTACTGTAGAAATTGTGCTTACTTCACCAGTTGTCTCCTAACAAGATGAATTTTAGTAAAAGTAATTAAGTTAGATGTTTTGTTTAGAATTATTTCAAACTGGGAGAAAACCATTACTACCTAGCAAACAATAAAATGAAGCTGTCAGGTGAGACTTTTTGGAGGGGCACCCTTTTTGTTTCTGTTTTTCCAAGCTAGAAATCTGTTGGAAGAAAAGTACATTTAGTAAGTACATATTTTTGAAAGTAAACTTTATTTAATTTACTCTAATAATACTGTTTGGATATCAGATTGGTCAGACATGCAAATGGTCATGGAATGCTTTTGTATAGTAATCAAGTAGGGTAGAAATTTGATGAACAGTTGAGAAAATGTGTTCTTTTATAAAAAATTGTTCATTAACCCATGATCATCTCAATGTGTTTTAATATGCTAAAACTTGCTCCTGTTTCTTAGCACGATACATGTCTGTTTTCCATGTATGGGAAAGCAATGACAGACTCCACAGTGACTTCTTAGGAAATATAACTCTATAATCTCAGACCAAATAAATTGGCAGCAGAAACAGACATTTACAGGTATGGTAGCTCCTCAGGTCCTGCAGGAATGGTTTCATGCTGAGTTAGAAGAGTCTATGTTTAATTAATAATGATAGTAACCAACACAATGATATTATCTAGAACCAGAATTTCATGCAGAGTCTATTTTCATAATTTATAAAAAGATGCTCAAGTAAAAAACCACTTTTAATGGTACTAAATTATAAGTCTCTGGAAATTTTGTTTTTACTTAGAAATTTCAGGTATGTGTACTGTTTAAGCTGGGTCTAATCTTGGAAACCACAGAATATGAAAAACAGTACCAGTGAGTTAAGTGAAGGGTTAAGAATTGGTCAAAGTAATGTCTTTGGGACAGATGTAGATCTTTAGTACAGTTACTCCTATTTTAGCTTCCTGATTTTTTGTGAACGTTGTATTTTTAACTTGACTGAACATGCATGCATAGTGGGGTAAAGACTGTGAAAAACACAATAACTGTTAGTGATGCATGGATTTGTAGTCTCAACAGCTTATTGTAAGAAAATTTACCTTCTCTTTAACTGATTAATAGCTTTCCAAATTTATTTATAAGGGATGTCTTTTTCATCTAATTATAAGGAAAAGAACTCTAAAGCTCTTTTACAAAAAAGAGCAAAGCACTGAGAAACAGTGTTAATGCACTCATCGAATCCAATCCTAATTCCTTCATTTGTCTTAGTTGACCTGTTTTGTTTTAATAATACAGCAATGAAATTATATTCCAAAAGCAATCCATACTTTATTATATTTAAAGTTTTGTGAAAACAACTCATATTTAGTCACAAAAATAACAATCTTCCTCTGTTGGGGTGTTTATTGCTACTTGTCACAAAAATACTGGGTAGAGTTCAGACTGCAATGACTAAACTTGAGCTGTGTTTGATATACGTTCATGAGCTCTTGAGATACATGGCATGCCATGATAGTGAGACAGAGCACAGCAGTATTTATGGTTTAAACTTTTGTAATAAGAAGTGAATTATTCCTCATGTGTGTACACTGCAAAGATCTGTTCCACACCATGTTCCCTGAGATCTCTCTCTTCCTCCTGACGCCTGCTGTCTGTTTGAACTAGTAATTAATGTGTTGGTGACTCAGTCCTTTCAGACAAAGGGCAAAAAATGACTTTGGGAATTCTTGTGGAAATGAACTTATCATGACTTTACTACATGACCTTTCCACATAGATTTTATTTCAATTACTATCCAGCTTCAAGTTAATTTGCTGACTTGATTGTAATTGGATATTCTACGGAATTGAAAGAAGTTTGAGATTTTAAATTTACTGTAAGAAAGCAGTCGAAAGACTTTAATCATGATTTACCTAGCTCTAGTATTTTAAGTTTAAGGTTTTAATTTGGGAAATATTCCATATTAAAATTATTTTAATGAAAAATGTTTTTCTATTTTGGTAGCAAGATTAATAAACTCTGTTTGTGGATACTTGTTAAATGGGTAGAATTTAGCTACTTTTCGCATAAAAGTATGATAGTAACAGTGTGTGATAATAAATAGTTCATTTGATTTATTGTTGTAACATTTTACCTTGTATGTATTTCCAATAACCTCATGTTGTTTAACTTAAATATTCAGAACATGCTGGGCTCATGTCTGTAATCTTCGCTCCTCAGGAGGCTAAAATCTGAGGATTGCAGTTCAGAGCCAGTTTGGGCAGGAAAGGTTGTGAGACTCTTATCTCCAATTAACCACCAGAAAATCAGAAGTGGTGCTGTGGCTCAAGTGGTAGAGTGCTTGCCTTGAGCTGAAGAGCTGAAGGACAGCGCCCAGGCCCACATTTCAAGCCCCATGACTGACAAAAAAAACAAACAAACAAAAAAAACAGTGCAGGATTTATTTTAAAGGATTCATTGTACATCTGTTTGAATGTTCAAGTGTTGAAGAGTCAGAGTGATTATTTCTTGGTAGGGACAAGCTTGCATATGGCCCTAGTGTATTGTAGTCACGTTGACCATGGAGAAGTGCTGCGTCAGTGATGTGATTCTTTCCCCTAAAACTGTATATACTCTGTGCTATAGTTCCACCCTTATACATTTAACCCTTCTGATAGGATTACTGCAGTCTGAGTCATTTTGTGATTTACATCAGGAAAGGCATTATCATAGCTCATCATTACTGCCTGTGCATTTTATGAACTTGCGCTAGCTTTTATAGTAAAGTTTTGGAGTGTTGGGGCTCTGCAGTTTGAGTTCAGTTTTAGGTTCAAATGTCTTCAAGGAGAATACATCATGACTTAGTAATGACATACAAAAAGATATCACACAAAAGGAATTACAAGCTGGGCAATGCCGATGCATACCTGTAATCCTAGCTAGCCAAAAAGGCTGATATCTTGAAGATCAACATTTGAGGCCAGCCTTTGCAGAAAAGCCTGAGAGACTATCTCCAAAGTAACGAATAAAAACCAGGTCAGGGCTGGAGTTGTGGCTCAAGTGGTAGGAAATTAGCGAGTTGCTGAATTAAAAAGCCCAATATGGCCAACAACAGCAGCAACAACAAAAGTAGTTTGGGGAATAAATCTGTTACTAATGATGAAACTCTCCATCCTTGCAGGAATGAGAATAATTCTATATTTTTGTGACTATAGTCGAGTATTAGATAAGACTTAGTCAATAATATACATATTTTGTAACCTCTAGACATGCAAGAAGAAATGCTATCACCAGTCTAGGTAAACTGAGAGCCTCAGGCTGCTACCTGAGGACTTGTTCCGACTTGCTGGTCACTTTAGAACCTGGGTGATACATGTCTCATGGTCCTTCAAAAATACCTTTCTGTTGAGAATTCCGAATTCGTTGGAATATAGCACACCTTTCCTCAATTCAGTTTGCCCCTAGGCCCACTTTTTCTCACCTTGAGTTACTGTCAAATTTTTAAAGCAATTGTCTTGCCAGCAGTGTAAATCTGCCCCACATAGCTCTCCTTTTAAAAACCAGTCCTGTACAGTCTACTGCTTTTCAAATCAATTCCTTTTGCAGATTAGTGCAGAAAATGAAAGTTCCAAAGTAAGTTCAAAAGCGTCTTGTCCCTTTGCTCAGATCCAGAGTAGGGCTGCCGGGGTGAAAGAAGCTCATCTGCTGTCTTCGATGTCCTTCCACTAAGTATTTGCTCCAAAGACCAAGATTCAAATCCATGTTGAGTATTTTTCTCCAACTTTCTAAGTAATTACCAGACTATGTAACAGTAGTTTAACAGGGACTGAGGAGAGTGAAACTCAAAACCAAACAAGCTAAGCAATGCGATCTTCTAGAATTCTGGCTTACAACAGAATTCTGTCTTTTCTTTTCCAGAGGCCATTGTACAGCATTGCCTTTTGCTTTCTGTTAAGGAAGTGGAAGTGAGGATTGTCAGGATGTATGATTTCACTTTATTCACCTCTAATATGTGACTTTAAATCTCACCTGAGGAGATAGCTGGACCCCAGATTCACATTTCCTGTGGGGAATGGAGTAGAGGTTGCTCCTTATGCCATGGTCATGAGTCAGAATGGAGTGTACTTGGTGCCACACACCTTTCTTTAAAGGCCAATGTGTTCTTCAGTAGGTTTTAAGCAAAAGCAGCAAGTGGCACCAAGTAATGCTGCGTGTGACAGAGCTATGTTCAGGCCCCTGCTCAGTGTACCATGATGAAAATCCTGATCAGCCTTCTCGTTAAAACAAAAAACAATGAATATTGGGGCTAATGTTTCTATCATTATTTTTAAATGGGCATTTTTTCAAGGGGGA